TGCTGCAGGTAGAGTACGTTAACAAAAGGAAAGCTTCTACCAGCTTAGCTGCGGTGCCTTCCTTGCTACGACAAGGCGGCGTTAGCTCAAGTCCAGCGCTACCTCTGCACCTGGCAGAACCTGCACCACCAGCGCAATTGTTCGTTGCTCCTCATTGTTTCAGACAGCTCAATTGAAAGAGCTCAAATTGCTGGTCTGAAGAATACCTTCACGACACTGCTCTAAATACGTACTGCAATGCTTCCCCACTGATGGGGTAATAACCACAGCGAGACAGTTACAAACATCTGGATTCATGGGTCCATAACTAAACCAGTAATAGCATTTGTCTGCCAGGGTTTTGCAGGCGTTTTTCTTTGTGTCAAACTCCAGACCGTGGGGTTGGGTTGGCAACACTCTGCAGCGCAGAATTAGCCCAAGATGTGGCAGTAATGAAAGGAACAAATGTAGTCCTTAGGAAGCAGAAGAATCCCGTATTAAAACAAAAGCCCTACATGTGTTGCTCTCATTGTGCTCATTACACATACTTCAGAGTATTATTTTAAAATAATTAATTTTAAAATGAGCTACTCGTAAATTATCAACGTACTTGCAAGCCTAGGAGAGGCTACAAACAGCACAGTCCTCAACTGCCACCTCCTGTAGTATTGCTCAAGAAAACACATTAGTACATATTAGCATACAAGGCCTGAAAATAAACAGTAATTGAGACAGTAATCCCTATTACGGAAAATCTTTTCAACAGACCTATCAGGTCAGGCACTCACTAGCTGGCGGATGAGAGGAGCAGGGAGCCTTTGGGACAATCCCAGCAGCTCTCCCTCGGTAAGAATTCCCCTTTCCCAGCAGCTACGGAGGAGGACAGGTGTCTCTCTGCAACAGTACTCTGAGGCATGTGTTTTATCTGGCCCTTCTTTTATTTTTTTTTTTCTTTTTAACCACTTGCTTTCAAATGTCTGATCTTCAACTTAACAAAGAGAAGAGGTTACAGCCAACTGACAGAACAGACTATTAAATGCTTAAATTCTCCCACTTGCATGCACCATCTTAACTCACCTCTTCTTAAACGGCATGAATTAAGCTCTGAGTGGATACACTAATCTCGGTGTTTGCTTTCATTTCCCAGAATGTTTATACCAAACTGGATTTGTTGCAAAACGGGTTGTAAACTATAAACTAAGCTGGCATGAGTGTTACTAAATTTACTTAATACAGGGTTGAACTTCAAAAACTTTCCCATGAACATGAACAATGATTAATTTTGGAATGGAAATGAGGAAGAGTGAGGAAAGAAGACAGGGAGTACATATTTTTGCTATTGCAGATCAGCAGGGCAGCCAGGAACAGCTGAAGGAAGCTGCTATAAATCACAATACCCCTGGGAACGGCCTCACTTGTGCCAGCCCTAAAATCCAGGAAGTGTAACAAACATTGGAGCTGGCTGTGCCCTGCTCCACCTGGGCTGCAGCTGCCAAGCTGTGTAGGTCAGAACAGCAGCCTCAGATACAACCTTAACTACAGAGTGGTGACCTCTGAACTAAACAGTTTTATGCCATGAACTGAAAATAGTTTTTCCAGATATGTCAAACCTATTTAAGAGCATCTCTGCAGCCCAGATTTACCACGCATTACGTGCAAGGTCTTCACAGCATCTTCCCAAGAAAGGATAACGGTGGGGCTTGGCACAGTTCCACACCTTGAAGTATGTATAAGCGCTTGGCCATGGTTTGAAATTGAGCTGCCTAGGAGCAATAGGGCCAAGACCTTTTTTAGCTTTGCTTTATGCTATTAAAAGCACAAAAGAAATTAAATACAGCACACTGCACCAAGTAGCACAGCTTTTGAGTTAGGCCAGCAAAAGCAAGAAAAAAACAGGATCAGATACCTGTGTCCTCAGTTTACCTATCTTTCCTAGTGCTACGGTGCATGTTGGACAGTAACTGACTCGTTTCAGGCTCTTCTGTTGGACAGGAGAAAACATAAGAAGAAAGCAGTACTTAATTTTCCTCCAACATCTTTAGCGGCTTAAGACCAAATCTGATTTTACTGTTTTCAATGTTCTGTCTTTCATGGAAATCACACTAAAATCACAGGAATTTAGACTTACTACTGTATGTTAAAGAGTAAAGCTATCAGCATTAAAGATACTAGGTTTTAGTCGGTACCCCCAAAATGCAGTTCCTACTCACCGATCACAAACATGTCAATGTGATGCATGACAACACTATTTTTCTAACAGTTCATTGTCCAATTCACAGAATCAGAAATCAATCTCTACTGTTGAGACAAGCAAGCAAAAACCTGCTATTTAGACATTTTTACTGTGCCTGTCATTCTGCCATCCCAGTGCCCGAAGAAGTTCATGTGCAGCCCAGGCCTGCCCAGCACACCCAGGAATGGGGCTCCCCTGGGGCTCTGGCATTTTGATAAAACAGGTGTTATAGCAATAGACATGACTGTGGGAAATTTAACTGCTGAGGAAACCTACACCTCTTTTGCATGACAATCACAGTGCAACCTGTCGGTGTAATTTTGAAGTAGCTAAATCAGTCTTGGATCACTCCGATGGACCGACTCCACATGCAGTTACACTGGCAGGTGAGAAGTGGCAGCAGCCATCGGTGTTTAACACGATATGGGAGAGTTCAACATCCTCTTCAGTATTTGTACTGTATTCTGTTAAAGTCACATGTAATGTTCTATATATGCCGTTTATTTTAAAAATTGCTATTTTTTTATCACTTATGTAACTGGGTAACCAGAAGGGCAATCAACGTCCAAGAGCATCGGTTGGCAGCTGTATTTTTGTGAAGCCTGCAACATGTGGACTGTAAATGATAAGGGTGTGCTCTAGAACTGGAGCAGAAACAACTTTGCATGAAGAAATCTCTTTGAGAGAACTTATAACACAAGGTTTTTTTATTTTTAAAGCACGTGTGAATACGGCCAAGTTATACTGGCTTTTAAATATATATTTTTAATAAGTCCTTTTACAAGAAATGTAATAAGTAGCGTTCTACTGCTTGTTGCATGAGGGGCCACGAAGAGGTGCCATACGCCTGCTGTGTCAGTCTCGTTTAATCTGTGCTACTACACCCTATAAGAAAGAGTGTTACAAGCTTCAACAGCTCTGCAGGTAACGCACAGCTGCATTTACCTCCTGATACCAGAAAGGTTCTTCCTAACAAGTCAATTCCAATGTAACAGTAACCCTTCGGGCACCGAAACTCTGCTCAAACTGCCCATCCTGAAACCCCAGAACTTCTGTTACAGAAGCCAATCTCTCTTCTGTATTTTTTATTTCGCAGAAGGTAAAAATGCAGTGATCAAACAGTTGCTATTGAGTAAAAGGCTTAAATTCCTCTTAAACAACACTTATGGGTACAGAAGCACTGAATTCCTCAGTAAGTCCTTCCTGACTTTCCCCTACACTCTGTAGGAGAGAAGCTTTAGTAATTTTAGACGTTGGGGGGTTTTCATCATTCTAACAGCATTCCTGGGCACCTGGCAGTACCAGCTCACAAGAACAACTCTGCAATACTCTTGTGCCAATAACACAAGGGGAACATGCTTTCCCAGAGAGCTAAATATTAGATGCTATTGGAGAGTGAGGGGGAAGAGTTCCCCTTCTAAAACCCAAGCTGTAACACGCTGTACCCGAAACTGCTACAATTAGCTTTGTACCAACTATAAGGCAGTGTTGGTGTTCCAGTTCATTTAAATGCTTTCTCTCCTACCATGCCTCCTTTGACAGTCCAAGTGTAACCCGCATGACCAACACAGACTAGATCCCAGCAACTTATTACCAGTTATTTAAAAACAAAACAAACACACCCCACCCTGACCTCCCCCCAAAAAAACCCCACATTTGCCCTCTCAACAGAGCTTGCCTCTACGAAGAGGGAGAGCCACTGAGCCTGCATGCACGTACATCAGGCTGCCACAGGACATCTACAGCACAGTCCTCGGGGTACGGCACCTTTACCACAAATTCAGTGAAACCCAGCTCTGGTCTGTCCCTGCTCTCACAGACTAGTCAGACAGCAGAGCTACTCACATTTTACTGAATTCTCAAGACCTGCACCAAACCTTTCCAACTATTCAAAACGCCAAACTAATCCAACAGAAAACACCTCCAGCATTTTTTTCCAGCGTGTACACGGCTCACCGTTACACATGAGCTATTAATCTGAAGATACCTGCAGTCGGAAATCTTACCGAGATGCAACAAATGAAAGCATCGTATTTAAATGTAGCTTTACTGCAAATCTGAACGCTGGATGCTCACAGCTAATGAGAAATTTTGATGCATCCTTTAAACAAAAGTAAAACATGTAAAAGATTTAAAGAAATTATCTAGCTATGCTACTATTTAACTTTCCTATCGATCAAGTGCTCCAGTTACCATCACTTTATCTAAGACTACATTGCTCAATCTTCCAAGCTTACAATTTCATTTTCTAAAACCTAACAGAAATCTGTCCCAAGTTGGGAAATTCCTTAAAAATATTCTCTATCAAGAGACTACAACCAATAGACACAGAAATCTAAAAGCAATACTTCAGCTTATCTAACTGTTAAGCAACATACTAAGAGAAAGCGTAGAAAAATCACATACGGTTCTTTTCCGTTACTTCAGAATGAAGTGATCACTCTACACACCTGGCACTCAAAAAGCCCGTTCAAACCACACGCAGACATTCAGTTGAAAGCTTCAGCATATTTCGAAGTTCATACAATTAACGTTTCCCGAAGGCAGTGACCAGCTACAAAAACCAAGCTGAATGCACGCTGCTATGTACATCGGTCACTAATACCTACACCACCGACATGCAGACAAAACAGCAAACTTTGATATCAAACCTCCCCTATGCTTGTTCAATCTGCTGTACGCAATTTTTGTCTAACAGTCACCGGTCGTAAACACTAAGTTTCCCATTTGTTAGCCTGAGCACATTAATCTCCTACCACCATCCACAATTTAAGAAGCCATTACATACCTGCAGTTAGGAGGAGGATCAAGGGTTATTTCAGCTAGCTCCTTCTGGATTCTGTTGGTGAAATGAGAACAGACACAAAGCATTTGAGATAGTCTATAGAATAAATCAGGGAATTACACTGCCCTCTACCACCATGCAGTTAAATGCAAGATTGGCTTTGCCTTCAGTAATGCTAACATGGCTGCTTCCTCTTTGTTCTCAGAGGCATAACCCAAATCCCACAGCTGAGAAACTTTGCAGCTTTTTTCCTGCGCCACGCTGGATGCAAACAGAACACTTACAGCTGAGCTGGGTAGACATTTCCCACAAGTATTCAGAAAAGTAACTCTTTTTCACATCCAAGCACTTTTTACCAGAGAGATTTTCTTTTCAAGCTAATATGCAAATGAGGCGGGGGGGTGGGGGGGGTGTTGCTGCACAGGCAGATTTGACAATGACTTTAAACCAGCGCTACAGACCTGGGGCTGCGGCTGAAAAAGTGAACCGCGCTGGCAGCAGGCACCCCCTTTTCACAGTATTTCACCTACTGCTTGCAGTGTGTTTAAAAAGTGAATTTGCAGATCTGCCAGGCTGCCTCTGTCACTGGAATAATCTCTCTGGATCAACTTTGCCTCTCTCCACACCTTCTGCTGCCTTTCCTCCCCCGACCTCATACAGGAGAGGCATTTGCATGATAAAAAGCGATATGATAACTTGAAATAATCCGTGCTTAGCTCTACTCCATTACAACCATTCCCAAGGTGTTAGGATCCAGAAAAGGAATACCAAAAACTTTGTCAATTTAATAGTTTAGTCAGGTACATAAAAGGAGGAATTTCAAAAGAGGCATGGTAGATTCCTCTTAAAAAGTACCAAATAAGACTTCTCTTCAGAAGAGGACCCACAGGAGCAAGACCGTGAAATTCACGTGGATAGCAAGCGTTGAAATACCAGCTAACAGACACTGCTCTGCACGCCCTCGCACTGGTACCAGTAAGTTCAGTCAGGCTACTGCACTATGTGAGATTTACAAAATTAGACTTGCAACAATTAGGTGAAAGAAAGGCAAGAGGGGAAAACTCAGTCTCGAAAGCCTGCATCTCAAACTTCTCAAAAAAGATAAGTAGTAACAAATTATGAAGCCTATACAGGAGTTCCAGAACTTTTCTTCTTTAGCCAGCCCTATTTCAAAGGGCTTCTTTAACAAGGTCAGAAGCCATCAAAGCCACCCAGTCATACTCTGCAGCAATTTTAACACGTTTCAAAAAGTATTTACTGAACCTAAGTCCATTACAAATTTACTGAAGTGTTCCTAGATGTCAGAATTACAGATTTCACGCTGAATAAGCAAAACTTGAAGTGACTACGGCTACTCTACAGCTTTTCTTGCTACAGGATATTTGTCAATGTTTGTAAAGAAAAGTGAGTCCAGGGAAAGGACTGGAAAGTTACGATTTATCTCCGAAGACCAGAGAAACCCAGGGATTTAAAGTTTGCTCATTTCCCACAGCTGAACTTACAGAACATTACCAGAGTGCGTGTCTTGAGAGCTGGACTGCCAGTAACCCACCATGCAAAACAAAACCCAACAGATGTAACTGAACAAGGTGTCTGAGGATTTTCACATTTGAAGGTAGAGGCTACCTGTAGAACCCCGTGGTTTGAATCAGCAGGCCCCAAGGGAGAAAACTCGCCTGAGTTTCTCCTCAAAGAACTGCAGGATTAACCCATTGCTTCGAGATGTGCAGGACTCTCCCGTGCACTGACACGAAAAGCCAGTCGTAAGGCCCACAGAAGCCACTCGGGGTTTGTGACTTCTCTAAAGAAAGAGCACTCTTTGCCATCAGCCTACCGTCAGCCTACAGACCGTAATAAAACACACCAGGAGGACTCCACCCTGTACCAAACAGGCGTGGAAACCTAACTCTGAGAAGGATAGCCGCAGCTGACACTCTCGCGCATTTTGCAAAAACGAAACGCGTTTAGGTGCCCCCCCAGCCAGCCTGGAAGTTACCAAGTTCTCAGACAAGTCCTCACGAGACGTTTGACAAGTCCGTGTAATTATCACCCCAGTTAAGACCTGGATTAACGAAGACACTGCCTGGCAGGCTCCTGTACTAGAGGAGTTAGTACCTCACTCTTCTCCACAGAGCTTTACAAGAAGGTCCCCTCTGCCCTGAAAAGCGCGACGCAAGCGCCGTGACGCAAAACACCGTGCGAAACCACCACGGAACGTCTCGCTGCCCCCTTTACCTTTTAGCACTAGTAGATAGCTTAGCAGTAGTTTTGCTGGAGAGTTTGGTGTTCTTCTTCTGCTGGGTGGCAGAGGGTTTTCGTTCTTCCTGCTCTTCGGGTTCGGGTGCGGGTGGATCCCTCTGATCGGCATCTGAACTACCGCTGCTGGTACTTGGACTTTCATCGTCTGACCTCTGCCTATCACTGGACATCGTGGGGAACTTTTTTGGGGCAGGACAAGAAAAGAGGCTGAGTTAATACAACAGGCGGGACTCCCTCCTGCCATTCCCCAAGTTCCAGAGAACACCTGAGTCGGTGAGAACTCAGCTGCACTAGGAAATGAACCGAAATGTACTTCTTTGTCTCCTCCCCAAGGGCTGCAGTTTGACAGCTATAAAGGGGTATTTACACTTTTGAAAATACAGATATTTCCAATTTTTAAACCCACTCGCATTTTTTTCATACTTTAAACAATATGCCAATTGTCGACTTTGTTCTAAGGCACGAGACAGATTTAGCAGGGTACTTAGGCAATGAGCATTAATAACTTATGACACACTGTAAATAACAGACCTCACCGAAAATGTTTTTGAAAAAGTCACTAATATCCTGTAAATATTTACACTGGAGCAGAGCATTTTATTGGGTCCAAACGCCAGATTCCCCCTTCTCCCCCTCTCTCCAAGAAAATCTATTGCCAATAACACTTGGGTTGGTTTCAGATGCAGACGTACACTTGCTCTGTGCATTTAAAGGGCTGGGCTGGGGGGGGCGGGGGGGACGAGGGTTTTTGTTGTTGTTGTTGCTGCTTTT